AATTGTAGCGATCTGGCAGCAACAAAGAGTTGCATGTTAAGTTGGCTGCGCCATTTCGAGAAGCTCTTTTATGGCTACATCTAGCCTGTGAAATGCTTGGAAATATGTTTTGTTAAACTCTTTAAGCTTGATATCTCCTTTTTTTTTTCTATGATAACTTCGTATATAAATTGGGTTTATTTGTTCACTTAAGCCTAGTTTTGTTATTTATAAATATGATAATGGGCTGAACTTAATGACCAATAAATAATTTTTATAGCACTACATATTGAAAAAAAAAACCCATTATACAAAGTTTAAGCTGATGAATTGAAACAAATTGTGCCTCATACATTTAACATTTGTGCATTTCGCTTGTTATTGTTGTATGTTTTGTCATCTGTTTTGTCAATATAGCTGGCAATTAAATAGAATTCATGGCCAATTGCCGTTTAAGACTTTGCAAGATGGTTTCAAGCATAAACCAGATCTTAGTCACGGCTGGGAAAAGTCACGTTCTGAGTCATGAGCGGCAGGAATTACGAGCTCACGTTTTGCGACAAATTGTATTAACAATAATATTAATAATAATATTAATAAAAATAGTTATAATTAGCTAATAAATGAATTGGTTAATTGATGGCGTTGTAAGCTAATTACTTTGCCCCTTATCGCGGCTACTTATACAAAATATTACGTATACGCAACGATGCATAACATGGGTAGAAAACAACACGAAGCGCGAAGATTTAATACTCTTGTATAACTAAGAAAGGCTTGTTTACTAAAGATTTAATTCGTGCCTCCGATTTTTATAGGAACCCTTTGATAAAGTAGTCAGATTAATCAATGAGATTAATAAGATTTTGCAGACATGTTTGGGTAAAAGAGAAGAGAACACAAAAAATATGTTCATATTAGAAATTTGCCGATTCTTCTTATTTAGCTTTAAAATATACTTAGTAGGTCGATGATGATAAGATTCTTATTAATGATCCTACATACAAAGTTTAGTCTATATTTGATGGAAGCACAAAAAGTACCTCATAATGGAATTGAATTTTTACCCGAACGTGATAGAGCTTCGATCCATTAGATCCCGACAGTTGAGAGACTAGTTTCAAAGAAAGGCTTGTTTAGTAAAGCTTTGTGACGGGATTTTTGTTTCTATTGTAAAAGTATTATATATAAGTCCGATTTGTTAGGGTTTTGTAGACATGTTAGGGGTAAAGAGATGTATATATAGGAAATTGGTTTTCATCTGATGCTTTCTATAGAGCTATATAACTGATTCCTCCTATTTAGCTTTAATTTTTTAATATAGTAGCTAGATGATGATACAATTCTTATTAATGATCCTACATATAAAGTTTAGTCTATATTTGATGGAAGCACAAAAAGTATCTCAAACGGGAATTTAATTCTTCCCCGAACCATTACATCTAGACAGTTGGAAGACTTCGTAACATAGTTATAATACCCTTCATAAAGGGTATCTTAAGTAGATTGGCAGTATTTCATGTAATGTGGAGTGCGTACTTGGTTAGTTGTTGGCTCTAGTTGGGAGTCTATCGCAGACGGCGATCTGCATGCGCCGCCTTATCATCATATCACGATGTGATGTTTACCTATGTACCATATATATATGTAGTTATATTCCCATTTTTTTTTGGGGGCCCGAGTACATGCTACGATAAGCACACGCATCGACGAGTGCAATTATGATTCGGCATGGTAATTAAAGAGTCTGGCGCGGGGCTGACATAAGACAGTCGTGTGGCGACTGTTGCTGGAATGGGGACACGGTTCGTGGGAGAACTAATGATGGTCTCCACTCTATTCGACAGGTGCTCGAAGATGTCATTGCTGTCCTCCCTGCTGTCCATGGAGTTGTTGGTGCGCAAACGCTGCTGGCTGCTCGTTGCGCTGGCCGCGCTGCTCAGCTGCGGCTCGGTGGGCTCTTTGCCTCAAGGTGCACCGGAAACGGTGTGCGACACAATGCTGCCGTTCCATGCCGGCGGCACGGTGCTGCCCGAGAACAGTGTCTCGCCGTTCGGCATTGAGACGTCCAGCTCGGTCATTGGCCAGGGCCAGACGATGCGCGTGGATGTCACAGGTGCGCCCGCTGGCCTCAGCTTTGGCGGCTTCATGATCCAAGCGCGCAATCGCAATCCGCCCTATCAGATTGTCGGCCAGTTCAGCCCGTCGCGAGATGGCACCGTAAAGCTAATGAACTGCGAGAACTCCGTCAATAACTCCGCCACGCACAGCAATGCGGGCCCCAAGCAGCAGGTCAGCCTCGACTGGCAGTCCCCAGTCGACTTCCTGGGCCAAGTGGTCTTCAAGTAAGTTTGCACGCTTCTCCATCTATCAATAGCTCAATAACTGTCGGATTGATTGATGAGCAATCCTTCCACTTTCCATGATATCAGAGTACTCCAAGCTCTCTCCGAAAGGTTGGAGAAACTCTCTTGATACACATTCTCTCTAATCCCTCTCCTTCCGTTCCTTGCAGCGCCACAGTTGCCCAGTCGTACAATCAGTTCTGGGTGGGCGTACCCTCGAATCCCGTCCAGGTGGTGCGTCGTGATCTGTCGGCGGCTGCTCCGCTGCCCACGGCCAGTCCGCCCAATAACTTCAATGTGAACTATCCCAGCACACGCACGCCCTATGTGCCGCCCAGCTATGTGGCGCCCAATGTGGTGGCCGTCGAGGAGGATAGCTTCTACGATGGCTGCGGTCAGAGCAAGAACTGTTTCGGCTTTCCCGATGGCTGCGTTGCCAGCAAATCCTGCACTTCCGTCTCGGCGGTCACCGTGCGCGGCGATGTCTACGAGTTTGAGCTGCGCTCCGGCAAGGGTAAGCACAAATCTCCGCGCAGAGATCACTAATGGAACTTATTCTCAAAATAGGCAGCAATGCCGCCTATGTGGCCTTTGGTCTGTCCGATGATGCCAAGATGGGTGAGGATCTGACCACGGAATGTGTGCCTGAAAATGGACGCGTCAATCTCTACTCCTCCTACACCTCGGCCAGTCCCTTTAGCGCCGTCAGGGCCAATGTGGTAAGTGCAGTTACATTTCTGGTGAGGATTCGGGCTGGTTAATTGCCCATTTCGCCCTTTGCAGCCACAGAACTCGGCGCGTCTGTTGAACGCCTCGCTGGTGGATGGCGTCATCTATTGCAAGGTGCAGCGAGATCCGATCACCGTGGTCCAGGGACGCAGCTTTGATTTGAAGAACGGCGTCTACCATATGCTCGTCGCCTCGGGCAGCAGCCTGAAGGAGAACAGCGTTGGCTATCACGATATTGGCCGCCTGCCCTCGGGCAATCCCATCAATCTGGCCGTCGTACAGGATGTGGGCGGCTCCAGTCAGCTGCTGGTGCGCCTGCACGGCGCCTTCATGATCGCCGCCTGGATAGGCACCACATCGCTGGGCATCATCTTTGCGCGCTACTTCAAACAGACCTGGGTGGGCAGCCAAACCTGCGGCAAGGATCAGTGGTTCGCCTGGCATCGCATGCTCATGGTTACCACCTGGACGCTAACCGTGGTTGCCTACATTCTCATCTGGGTGGAGCTCAAGCGCGCCGTCTGGCATGCCCATTCCATAACGGGCCTCATTACGGTCATACTCTGCTTTTTGCAGCCCATCGGAGCGCTCTTCCGTCCCGGCCCGAATGACAAGATGCGTCCCTACTTCAACTGGGGCCATTGGCTGGGCGGCAATCTGGCACACATTCTGGCCAGTAAGTTCAGGAGCTGCATCTTCTCTATATATACATATATATATGGGACATAACTTAATTCCTTTGCAGTTGTTGCCATTTTCTTCTCTGTGAAGCTGCCCAAGGCGGAGCTACCGGAATGGATGGACTGGATACTGGTTGGATTTGTGGTCTTTCATGTGCTCGTCCATCTCATATTCTCCGTAAGTGCCGGTGTTACGTATGTGTGGGCCTGGGATCTATCCCTTATATCACATGTCCCCAAATGCTGTATATAAGTATATCTAGAGTCTAGCGTGTTGTCCCTCGCATTGCCTGTGTGTATAGCGATTGTCCTTAAATGCCATCACTCATTTTGATACTAATTCACTCATCGCATGCATCGCCTCCGTTGAGCTAGTGGCTACGTCCGTTAATTTGTAGATCTATTTGTGTGTTAATCATTGGCAGATATCGGGCATCGCCTCGGATCGCCAGCAGAGCCAGCGCATCAACACGTTCCAAATGGGCGACATGACGCATCATCATCAGCACGCGATGCGCAACGGCATGAGCATGGAGCGTAAAATGGATGCACCGGTGAGTACTCCGACCTAATCCTATACAGAATTCAGATTAACTCTTCATTTTGTTTGCAGTATGGCGGCCTGCGCAAGGGTCTGCTGGGCATCTATAGCGTCGTCCTGTTGCTGTTCGTTGTGGTGCTCATCCTGCTCGTGGTGCTGGCGCCCATCGAGAAGCTGTTCGAGTAGGCCAAACTCACAGCTAGCTAAGCTTAGGACAACCTTTAACAATCTCTTCAAACGGCTGCAACTTTTAACAATTTTTGTGCTCAATTGTTTTCGATGCTTATTATTATATATTTTTTTTAATTTTAAATGTAACTCGTTTCCGTTTTATGTTGTTATCTGTAAATTAAGCGCAAAAAAGTGTAACGTTTCAGTACATGTTATATAATTTATTATTGATAATGTAAAACAAGCCAACTTAAATGCGTTTCTTCAATGCTTATCTAACGCTAACGCTATTTAGAGAGAGGTTCTGTAAGGGGGAGGGGTGGGGAGGGGCGATTGTGGGCTAAGGGGGATAAGGGGGGGCAACATATATTTGCAGCCAGTGCTACTTAAGCTGCTTTTATTTTTTTTTATATATTATTATGATGGTAAAAAACTTGTTGTTCTTAATTTGCAGCTCCTTGATGATTCTAAGCTTAGAGTTCGTTTTTTTTCTCAATTTTGTTGTAGATGTTTTTGTTGTTGTTGTTTCGACTATATAAAAATTAACATAAAAAATACAAGACTAAATTTTTTCACTTATTAATGCAGATAACTTAAACCCAATATGTAAACGAAACGCTTAAAAACTGAGAAAACGAACAGAATCAGAAATTAGTATCATAATCATAATCAAAATCAAAATCGCTCCTCCAATATGACCGTTTCCTGCGGATACAGTTTGAGCGTTTCCAGCGTTTGGCCAGCATTGATGGCCGTCAGATCGCGTCGCGGCCAACTGCTAATAATCTTGTACTCATCGATAAGAAAACCGCTGGCGGTAACAAAGTTCAACAAATCCTGGGGAATAACATGATAAAATTATATCTTATATAAGTGAACAATTTGCATATTAATTAGCGCGCACCTGCAGTGTGTCTTGCGTAAAAAATCGACGCTCCAAAAAATCGCCAGTTGGCTTGCGTACGCGTATTTTGGAAATGTTTGCTTCGTGCTCGGCAGGCTCCATAGGTAACGCTTGACTAGCCTGTAAGGCAGTTAATTTAGTTAGCGTTTATCAGTATACGATTTAGTATATTACTTACCACTAATCTGATGGACTCGCGCCTAGCATCTTCTTCGGCCCGCTCGGATTCAATGCGTTTACGTTCGGCTGCCTGGGCGGCCTCCTTTTGACGTTTCGCTGCCTCTTTGGCCATGTCCGCCTGTAGCGTCTCCTCGTAGGCCATGTCCTGCTCAGCTTTGACCTGATCACGCGCAGCGCGCTCGTTCTCCTCGCGTATTTCACCCTGCAGCTGCTCCTCATACATCACCGTCGTCTCAATCAGACGCGACTGCAGATCAACCAGACCAATGTTGCCTGAAAGCAGTTATTTATGTAAGTATTGATATCTGTAAAAGTTGTTAAATACTCCCAACTTACCATGAATCACAGATAAGACCTCGCATGTTTGGCGGCCCATGAGACGGCTTTTGCCAACTAGCATAATGGCGGGTAGCTTGTCAAGTTTTATATTCCTGGCCGTTAATGAGGCGTTGCTGTTGATGCAGGCCGTCAGCGAGGAGAGGAACCTGTAGAACAACGAATAATTACCGTACAATATGATGTGCTTTAAGCTTATATTTAACTAGATGTGCCTACATATCCTTGTTGCTCTCGTATGTCATGTCCCAGCCATAGAGCACGAAGTTCTCTCTGAATGTCTGTATGATGGCCTCGTCCTTCATGAGATGATCACAGAATACATTTGTGAGTATGCTCTCGCCATGGTGCAAATAGATGGCCAACAATTTGCGCTTAAATACAAAATCAGTTTGAATAGAATTCGAGGAGCAGCTTTGGTTTGACCTACCTCCTTGGCGGGCTTGTGACAGGCCAGCCGCAAGGCGCTCTCTAAGCTGCCCACATAAAAGTCCGGATATGGCTCACCAAAACGTTGTTTATAGTTATCCACAAATTGTGTGGAGCCACTCGTCTCATCGTTCGTGTTATTGGGTACTGCGAAATGGAGAGCGAAGTATTTTAGCTTGAATAGCTGCGGTTGGTTTAGATTAGAGCTTACTCAAATGCCTGTTGAGCGGCTGTACGGGCGGCGAATCTGAGAATATGTACTCCGAGTTATTAAAATCTGTGGCATCCTCAAACTCATCCGCTGAGCTCTCGCTGTCGAGGGTAACGACTTCACTGAACAGAGAAACAATAGCAAGATTAAAATACGATTAAAAAGGTACTATAATTATATGGACTAACGTGTTGGCCAGCAAATTGGAATTATTTGATGTTCGATCCGCAATGTTGCGAATCACAAAATCGTGCGTTTGCTCGATGCCCGATTGCTGCCGATTAGAAATATAATCAATAATTTTAAAATAAGGCAAATCGGACAAAAGACGAACCGCTAAATTGGTATCGTTATCACAACCGCTGGGCCAGCCGGACCACTCCTGATGCCTAACTGGTATACTGGTAATGTAGTAAACATTCGTTTTCAGTTCTTGGATGGTTGTGCGTCCGGGAAAATTGAGTGTTAGCCTGCGTGCCTCTGGTCCGCCCTCCTCCACAATATGGATTTTGAATACCTTGTCCAAACGCTGTGTTACCTCATCCCTGTTTCGTGCAACAAATTTTTTGTCAGATTAATTGTGTTTTTGGGTAGCTAAAGCTGAGAGCCTGCTTACTGTTCGGTATCCATGAAACCATCATCGGTTAGATCCACGAGTATGAGCTCGCTTTCGGGCGCCAAATCTAATGTGCAAAGCTGAGTCTCTGGTATTTGTGCATCGCTGGCTCTGGTCGGCGGCCAGCCGCGTAGGGCCTGGCGGCATTGTGGCACATTTGTCACCTCAAAGATCTTGCGTTTCAATTGTTCTGCAATTGTTCGGAAGGAAGTGGGTAATCAATTAAATCATTTCGGAGAAATTGGATGAACTCACCTATAGTTGCATTTGGCTGCATGCGAATTTGATAGAGCTGTTGGTTAAAGTGTATGTTGAATGTGAAGATGTTTTGGTTATTATTCTGCCTGGAGGGATCCAAGTTAATGCTCGACGTCAGCTGGGCCAGCATTTGTGAGGCTACAGTAGATAGATGGATATATATTCATTTAGGAGCCAGGAGAAGAAGAGAAGCGAACTTACTTGGAAACATGCGTGCACCCTGCGAGGGACCTGGCAGCTCGTCAAAGTTGAAAGGCCTAAAGCCATTGGAATTTGGATTTGATGACGCCGATGCGACTGCCACCGGATCCGGTGCTGGCGGCTCTGGTGTATGTATGGGATTGTCCAGGGGCTCATCGTCGTGTGGCATGACACGGCTGAGTGCCTCCTGCATGCAACAGACAACAACAACAACAATAACAACAACGCAATAAAATATACGCACTTGTATATGGGGAATGACGCACTTACCACAAGATCCCAATTGGATGCCTCCAGGTGGGAGAAGGCCTCGCCAACATCCTCTATTCCAGTTATCATCTGTGACATTGAATTTCAATTGAGTTTTGTTTGCATTCAAAATTATTGCAATTCCAAGACGCAGACACCCACATACACGCATACAAGCAAACACACACACACCCCCACACTCGCACAGCCGCACACACACACTCGCACGCTCATACACACACAACATACGCATTGAAAATGTGCGCACTCAGCACTCGTTTGGGCCACAAATAATAACAGAAGTTTGCAGCGTCTAGCGGGATTTCGATGCTGCGTTTCTTACCTGGAAACTGGCCAATGTTTCTTCTTTGTCCTGGTTGTCCGACATTAGTGTATTTAATTAGTATTTCGAATTAAACTAAAGTACTACTAATTTTCACAAAGAAAAGACAAAAGACAGTCTGATGTAAAAAACATTCGCCTGTTAACGCAATGTTAACACATATGCGAGCCTGTTAACTCTTGGCTGGTACGCTGGTCACAAGAACAGCTTGCCAAGACGGTGGCAAAATCTGTTAATGGCTTGAGCGCATTACAGAATATTTGAACTACTAAAAGTAGAAATTTTATTCATTTGTTTCATATACATTCAAGCATGCTGCTTAAATTAAAGTTTTTTTTACATATATGGCTATGCAGTTAGCCAAATCAGGAGTTATTGCATACAGCTCGCATGTTAATGCACAGCTGAGCTGCGTACTAGCCATTAACAGTGTGGTGATGGAACCAAGTCATCGACAAAATGTTATTGCAGTTTACGATTTTCGATACAACAAAGGCGATAGGTTTGGCGCAAAATTCAAAATGCCAACGGAGAGATGTTTACATTAAGCGATTAGACGATTTATTGGAATACTTAATCTTTTAGGGCAAAAGAAAGTGTGCATGATGTAGTGAACCATGCGTTGCTAAGTAAACAATATGCTTATCTCAGCCGAGTTTTATTTTTGTTTGCAAAACCCTTCCTTAATCAATATAATGTATTCCGTTTTAAATTGTGATTAATATGCGAAACTTAATATTGCGCACCAGTGAGACCGCCCTCTAACGCACTCGATATCCCCAACACGCGCGCACCGCCCACACGCCAGCACCTCCCCCGCACCCACAGCACCGCGCACCCGCGCCGCACACAGAACAAATGTCATCCAATTAATCTTCATGAAAAAGTGAAATCAAAGAACACGAAGGCGATGTGATTTCGTAGCGGCCAGCAGCCGGGCCAGGCATAGAACCAAACAGGCGCTCCAAACAACATGTTGATGTACGCAACTAACTGTTTGAAAATTGTAACACTTGCCGCAATTTGTGGCGCACTGAACCAGCTGCAAGTGGCCGAATCGACAGACAGATCCGTGCAGCAATTGCCGCAACGCATCTACGGTTTGCTGAATGAATTATCCTGCGGCGGGCAACTCAATGCGAGCGCCAGGTTCGCATTGCTGCTGGCCGAATTCCTGATAAAACGTGAGCCTAATGAGCTGTGCGATAGATAGCCATATGCCATAAATAATAATTAATTTCGATTTATTACACATCATTTTGCAACATGGCACAGAGAAAATGCGCTATGCCACGCCCACACGATACGAGAGACAACTTTACTATCATCTGCTGCACAGCATGGAGCAGCTGCGGAGCTGTGGAAGCCAGGACGAAATAAGCCAACTGCAGCAGCTGAGTAAATTTTGTCCTCTAACCAAAGTCTATTGCCATATATCCCTGCCATATGCTCACTTTTGCAGTACTCCGGAATGCCTTTCAGCGCAATGTGCTGCTCCTGCCGTCCAGCCTGAAGTACGTCTGAGAAATCTCTGGAAAAAAAATCTACTTAGGATCATCTTCTTTATTCTTATAGATACGGCGCCCTCAACGCCAATGCCGAGTACGAACAACTGGCAATGAACTATGAGAGTCTGGTCGAGAAGGGCGCGCCAAATGCCACACAATCGGATCTCTGCATGCGCGACATAGTTACTCTGGATGCCAGAGATTGTAAGCTCAGCCTGGACTGCCTGGACATACTGACCAGCGAGGCACCTGCCTATGGCTATCAGCGCACACATCAGTAAGTACCCAAGCTCTCTGCTCAAATATAATAATATAATTAACTATTTTGCATTTAAAGCTGTTTAAATAAGTTGATTACCAGCTCAAAAACAGCTCAGATTCTAGAGTTTCAATATCTAAAAGCGCTTTCAAGCTAAATCTGGTTTGAGTCTGATTTTGAAAAGGGGTCTTACACAGTTATAAGTTTCATGTATGTGAATAATCTTGATTGAAGCTGCGTTTTAAATGGTTTAAAAGCTGCAATTCAAAAGTCTAGCTAAACATTTGAAGCATTTTTCAAATAAAAAAGCCTAAATTTGTTTAAAAGCGGTTTTAGACTGGCTTAAAACAGGATTTAAACAGCTGCAAGGCGCTTTTATATGAATATTATTTGCTGAAGCAGATCAAGAACTAAGCTACTGAGTAAACATATAAAAAAACGTTTAAATTTGGCTTCACACTGGTTTTAAAAACGGGGTTTTAAACGATTATAAGTTTCATGTATGTGAATAATATTGATTGAAAATGGTTTTTAAATAGTTTAAAAGCTGAAATACCCAAGTCTAGCTAAACATTTGAAGCACTTTTTAAATAAAAGCGCCTAAATATGTTTAAAAGCGGTTTTAGACTGGCTTAAAACAGGGTTTATATGAATATTATCGGTCGAAAAGTGGTTTAAAGCAGCCAAAAAATCATGTTCTGATCCCCAAAAGATTAAAAGAGATGCTCACCATAACCAACTGTCCATTAGCAGAGTCTTTACTGTATTTGAAACGTTGTGTAAATATCCAAAATATCTAAATGAAGTTCCTTTTCGGTTCGCAGGGTTCTGCTGCTCTACATGCTGCAGCATCATAAATGTGCGCCCCGATTGAGCCCCCCGCAGCTGTACGAGGAGCTGGTCAGGAGCCACTGCAACGAGATACTCAGCGAACAGAATGCGATCCGCAGCCTGGCTTTGGGTCTGGGCAAGTACCAGGATCTGTATCTGGAGCAAGGTATGTAAAGAAATCAACAATTTTCAAATATATACACATAATAATAATAATGTATGGCAGCTACCATCTGTGGACTGTGGGGCTATAACGAGTTCCTCAACTGGCGGAATGTGATGGAAATTGACAGCTGGCACGCAAATGAGTCCAAGGAGCAGCACATCAAGGATCTGTCGCTGGTCTTCTATATTAACGCGTTGCTGCTGCTGCATTAAATTGATGCTAACTGTTGCTCCTGCTGCTGCTGTTCCTGCTTCTCCTTGTGCTGCTCATGCTTCTCCTCCTCCAGCTGCTCCTCCTCCTCCTCCTCCTGCTTTGCCCGCTTTTCTAGCTTTCTAATAACTGCTTTATAACTGAATAAAGTGCGGCATTATTGCTTGATGACGAGTGGCAAGACAAGGCAGTTAATACTTTTGTTATTGAACTGCGTGAGAAGATGTGTGTGTGTGTGTGTGTGTGTTGGAGTGGGGTTAAGGGGTTTGTCAGGTGGCGTCGCGCAACAGACGCCATTTGTTATATGACACATTAGTTGCGCCTGGCTGGCTGCTTGATGGATGCCACGCAGGAGGAGCAGGACGACGACAACACTTTCCATTACAAAATGCTCGCATTGAAGTGGAATACTAATATTTGCCCTGACATGCTCGAACAAAATAAAAAATAACATGGAAGCCAGCCAGGAGCTGCAAGCAAGCGAAGACGGAGAAGGAGACGGAGACTTGGTGCTTGGGATATTAATGCCTCATTTGCTGCAACTGACGAGTGGGTGGAAGTTGTTGTTGCACCCAACTAAGCCTTGCACAAAAGACGCAAGGCACACCAACACACACACACACGCACGCACACAGTTACACAGTGCCATGTCAGGGGTTTGCCCCTTTGGCCAGGCAAAGCCGCTGGCAAAGGCAAAGGACTTAACAGCGCATTGTCGAGGGCCATGAATGGGCCCGGTCATTAGCAAAGTTGACTGTCAGTGCAGCAGCAACAACAACAACAACAACAACGACAACAACAACAACAACAACAACGACAACGACAACAATAACAGCTTATGCACATGGTCAAGTCTCAGTTACACTCCCACCCTCCCGCCACGCCGCCCACATTTGTGTTTTATTTTGTTTTCAATTCTTCTGTCACTTTCGGTCATCAGCACCCCTGGGCGACAACAACAGCAACAACAACAACAACAACAACAACCCTTGCAACCTGATCAGCTGTCGTTGCCGCCTATTGCCCTTCACAATGCGCCTCATCCTTGTTTTTTTTTGTGCGTGTCGTTGAGTTCATTATGGGCTTTGGCATGTGTATGTGTGCGTGCGTGCTGTGTCCCTTCAAGTGTCGGTTGCCTTCGGTAGGTGTTTATTGTGATGTTAAGTTGCAGGCAATAGCAAAAACAACAAACTGTTGTTTAACAGAGCCCCGCAGTTACACTGCCGTTGACAGCTTACTGTTCTGTTGTTGTTGTTGTTCTTGTAACTTGAGCCCAGAATGTTTGGCATGTTTCGATTCCATAACGTTTCACGCATGCGCCAAAGCAAGTGCGCTCTCTTCAAGTGTGCGCTCTGGATAGAAGGCGACACTTGACTGCTGGACGGGGTAGAAGGCAAGAGGTATCAACAGACTACGAACAGAGCTGCCAGGGCAGCTGAAAGATTGTTATCCTGTGCAGCTGAGTGATTGCTATTAGCAAAAATGCTAGCTAACTAAAAGTATCATATAAATATAAAAATTAAAGAAAATAATAAATAGGTGTATAAAACAAATAATAAGTGAATAAAACTACAAATAATTACATTTCATTTCAACTTTCACTCATTGATAATTACGTTTCATTTTCAATTACGCTGACAGCCCTAAACCACCCTGTCGTGTGCCCGTACCAGTTCATATTTGGCGCCTCTTTACGCGCTCGGATAATCAGCTAGCGGATACTACGAAACCGTTTTGGGCACTCTAAGACCAACAACAACAACAACATTTGTCAGACTCTCTGGCTAAGGTGTTTCATTTGCTTCTGTTGGTGTTGTTGTTAGCGCGCTTCTTGCTCTCCGAACACTACAGTTAGTCACTTTGCGCTGGCAGAGTTCCGCTTCGTTCCAATCAGCCACGGCTTCGATACGCGCAGTAGTCTCCCGTCAATTAGAGTGTGAAAACGTGACGCTCCACAGCAACGGCAAATAAAACGACGCCGCCACAGAGACATCCTTTCGCAGGATACAACCAAAATATAACATATACACACACACGCGCAACAACAATAGCAGCAGCTAGTTGAATGGAAAAAAATTCAAACAAATTAAATGTAAAATTCCATTAAAATATAATGAGGTGTCAAGTGTAAAACGCAAAGTCGCCTTTAGGAGAGCCGAATGTGCAATGTGAAAGACAGCTTAAAATATTGTGCGTGTGTGCCCGTGTGCGTGTGTGTGTGCGTGCGTTGATGTAAATACAACGAAAATCGCTGAACGCCGAAAATAAAGCAGCAGAAATCAACGAAGTCGAAGACGACGTCGCCGTCAACGAGGCGGCCACTCGCCAAAAAGCAAAGGCAATCTAAGTGAGTAGCAATTGCTGTTGTTGTTGTTATTGTTGTTGGTGGAGAAACGAGGCGAAATGAAATAATGGAAATTTATGTTGGGCAAGCAGAGAGCGCACTTTAAAGTGCCACTTGAAGAGGCAACGCAGGGCGAGGGGAGTATTAGATATAAGAACATTTGTAAATGCATATGTATGTGTGTGTGTATTTGTTTGAACTTATATTATATTTGGCAAATTTGGCTGCTGGTTGCATTCAAATAACGCATTCGGCCCGGGAAATATTCGCTGTGTTGACGTTTCTCTCTCTCTTTTTCATTCGTTTGGCAACTTCCATTTTGCAGTCAGTCAAATGTCTTTGAAATAATGTCGCACAGCTTACATACATATATACAAAGCTGCGGCTGCAATGGCCGCATACACACACGCACGTCACGTTCTGTTGCTGCCTTTACGTTACACTCAGGGTGCGTGTGCGTGCGTGTGTGTGTGGGTGACTTCTTTTGTTTTAGTCCTTGCCTGAAATTGCTTTCTGCCGCTGCTGTTTTTTGCTTTTGTTGTACAGCTCAGCGCGACGTCTTTGACAGGGCGCAAGTAATATGCGCACCTGTGAATTTGCCATAAATTAGGCGCAAGAGACGCGCACACACACAGGCTTACAAATCTATACGTATACGCATGTCAAACGTTAAGAATTTAACAGCAAAAGCGGGCAGCAAAAACGCGCGCCAAACTTTTATGTTATGTGTGCGTGTGTGTGGATGTGTGGGTGTGCACTGGTGCCGTTACTTGGGTCAGTCTGTCATGCGTGAGCTGCTCGGCCCAAGCTAGCCCCAAGAGGCGTCCTGCCATACCGCTACACTCCCCATCGAACTGTTCGTCTGTCTGGTTGTTTAGTTGTTTCTGTTTGTATTTTGTGGTCTGCCTTCAATTGGCTCTCAACGGGCTTTTGCTCTATTTACCTTATAAAAACAAAATTTATTGCTGCTTTAACGATTTTTCTTTTGCGGTTATTTTCTGTTACTATTGCTGTCGCAGCTGCTGCTGCTGTTGTTGTTGTTGTTGTTGCTGTTGCTGCTGTAGTTTTGTCTGTTAAAAGTTTCCTCATTTTTTTTTTGCTCATTGACTTTGATGCTAGCTGTTTGTTTTATTTCTATGTGCTTGTGTTTGTATGTGTGTATTTACCGTTCGCTTTTCGTATTTGCTTTGTGTATTAAGTTTTGCGTGACATCAACACAAAAAATCATCAGCAACAACAGAAGAACAAAAAGTATCCACTCGTTGAGGCAAGGATATAATTTGTGCTGTGTTGGCTGTTGGCTGTGTTGGCCTTGTTATGGTTTTAAATCAATAATTTATACTATAGCCTGGCATGAGAATAGCCCGCATACAATATAGTTTTTGTGTTTGCTTGTTCAAGCTAATCAAGTTTTAGTTTTAGTTCTTTGTTGAGTAGATATAACAAGTAATAGGTGCTTAATCCGATTCGGGTCAGAGAAGGGCACAGATAAAAACATACATACATGTGTGTGTGTGTGTGTGTGTGTACGCACCAATCTCTGTGTGAAAAAAATATAAAACAATAACATAGCTGTTTAGCAGACGATCAGATCAGCAGTAGGAAAGTTTGTACAAGAGTTAAGCAGCAGAACTTTAACATAACAGTCACGCTTTAGAGTTTTACGTTTCGTGTCTTAACATAAGATTTTATAGTAACAATTGCTAACAGTACAGTTGTCATAAAACAAGAACAGTGCAATAACTTATTTTAGCAGTGGGGGAGTTATAAAAGAGGGAGATAAGCGAGTGGGCAATGTTGTGTAACCTGTAAGCAGCAGAGCTCTAGCATAACAGTATACAGGGTCAGGCCATAAATTAATGGAATTTGGCAATTGCGAACAGAGTTTTTCTTATCATTACATCACAAAAACAATTTGCGTTTACCTTAAATACTTTTTGTTGTCGTTAGTTATGATTTTCTTTGGGGCACTCAAGAAAGCTCCAATTGCCCAATTGTCATTTCTTGTTACCCAACACTCTTTCAAACTTGGCCGTTTGTGTGTTGGACACGTTGCCCACCTAAAAAAAACAAAAAAACATCAAGAAAAATGTTATGAATTTACGATTTTTGTGCTGAGTTTTCTCATAAACTTTATCCTCTGCACCGGCAGAACTTTATGCGAAATTGTGCGGGAGCAGACAGAAAAGCCAATTTGAACTAAGAAAAGTAGTGTCATAAATTCAGGGCAAGATCCCTGCAGACAATCAATAATTGACGGAACTGTCAATTAATCATAGCATACTTTTCAGCTGTATTAAATTGGAAATGATGTTTTTAGTTTTTTCATTAATTCCATTGTAAATTTAGCATAGAATTGTGTAATTAAATCAATGCCACTCGGCGCTAATTTAGTTCCATTAGCTTCATAATTGGGTTGATTAACTTTTTTTTTTGATTTTTTGGCCCGTGTCCGAGAGCGAAGTGCCATTAATTTTGATTCTGGCAATATCTATGTGTTCGTCTAATTAGTTTGGGCCTGCGGCAAATGCTCTAAAGCGCCCAAAAGGCCACTTGCCACTTGCCATTTGCCACTTATCACTAACAACTTGGCCTGCTGCAAAATTTTCCAGCCAAATGAGCGCACGTTTTTGCTGCGTTTACCTGAATAATGAGTTTTCATGTGCCGCATGCCACATGCCGCATACCCCACATCACACACACACACACACACACACACACGGACATCAGCTTCATCGTCAGCAATCCCGGACTGGTTAAATATATGCATTCTGGCTGAAACTCGGGCGACAGCCTTCAACATTTGCTGGCCATTCGGAGGCGTCGTACCGGAAAGAAATGCCATTAAAAACGCAATAAAAATGCAAAAACAACAACAAAATCAAAAGAAATACAACAAAATTGAAAAGAAAAAAATCCGAAATGAAAGAAAATGAAAATAAAACGTAAAGAGTGGGCAAAAACGTATCAAGAAATATGTGCGGGGCCTGTAGTATGTCAACGTGTGTGTGTCTGTGTGGGTGTGGGTGTGTGTGTGTGTGTGTTAGTTAGTGTGCGTGCTTAAGGCTCCAGTGCAAATAGCCAAGGTGGAAAAATCGATATAAATGAATACGGTAACATTTGGTCGGGCCTGAAACACCCAAAAACTCGAGACAGTACAAATGGCAAATGTTTTTTTTTTTTTTTCTTGTGTTTTCATTTTTGGCCTACCAACGTCCAACTTGCAAAACTTTTGCACGCACACGAACGTAAAAACAACAACCACAACACCCGCACTAAAGTAGCCCACCCATCCCCACACACACACCCTCACACACATCAACACTCACGCCCCACGGCCCGAGTCAGAGGCAGACACCGCGATTTTAAGCGCAGGCATACAAAAGTTGATATAAAAATAAAGCAAAAATGAAAACAACAACGCTACAGTAAAGCGTGCTCAATAGGGAAATACCCTATAATTAACTTTACACAGGTAGTTCTGATAAAATAAATTGTCCCTCATTAACATAATTCATTTTTACCATTTTCTGTTAACCTAACTGAATTGCTTATCATGCAACAAGAAATATTTTTTGTTCAAAATCACAGCGAGAAATCACTTTGGGAATTATCATAAAAATATTATTGATGCATTTTTATTTAACTCTATTTATAATGCTCATTTTCAGTTGAGTGGAGAGATTTTTAAAATCAATCTGTTAAATTCTACAGAGAGATTAAATAACAGACAAAATCATTAATAACAGTTGTATTTTTGTTAAATGTTAAAAGCATTTTAACAGTCGATCTGCAAGGGGAAGATTAACATATCAATGTTAATGTTAAATGTTATGTTAAGCGCATGATAAGCGCATGTTAGGCAATGTTCTATTACATAGTTGAAATGTTAAGCTGTAAAATATAAAATTCAGAGCTGTCTAAAAAACCCAAAGTAGAGCATTTTCTCTAGGGTACATCAAGAACAGCAACAACAACAACAACAACTACAACAAATAGCTGTAGCAATGGAGAAAGATTTCATGCTGCGGCTGCAATTTTTGCCCCAGTAAGTACGCTACATATTTTTGAGCACGGGTTAAGTGCCACGCATGAGTGTGTGTACCAAATACACACACGCATGCAAAGTGTAAGCGTGTGTTTCTATATGCATATATGTATAGATGTGTGTGTGTGTGTGTGTAGATATGTACAGATGTGAGTTTGGGTCTGTGACCCGGCTTCAGCGCATTTGCTCGCGTTTTTCAACACAGACATTTGACATTTCAATTTCGATTGTCCGCCAAAAATGACAAAAAAAAGTTCAAGAATGGATAAAAAATCGAAAAGCTAGTAATTTATTTTGCCGTTACATTTGTTTCTTCTTCTTCGTCCTCGTCTGTCCAAATACATTTTGGCAAATTGTCGTATTGATTTCTAATTACATGCATTTGCCCCAAGGCACTTGGCTTAAGGTAGGGCCACGACACCGTCTCGGGATCGCTGGATATATATCTATGTATATATGCGTTTGTCTGTGTGTGTGTGTGTGTGTGTGTACATTTCTGTAGGAGTGGCTTAGTCAGCCAAATAGAAACAAATTGAAGGATGGGGCACATTGTCTACTATTAGTATTTGTTGTGGTGGCGTTGCCATGACGGCGTTTATTGATTTTACTGCTGCCAACAACGGGGCCAGGTGGTGGGGGGGGGGGGGGGTGAAGGGGGACGGACGGTGGCAAGTGGCATGCGGCATGTGGCAAGAGCCATCAGGCAACAGCCATGAATCATGTTTGTGTGGGTCGCGCGGCGTTGCGTGTTTAGCAATTTGTGGTTATATTATAATGACCACTTGATTTGCCTGCGCCTGTGCCCCTCTCCCTCTCTCTCACTCTCTCTATCTATCTTTCTCTGTCTGTCTTGCTCACACTAATTGCTTGGCTGTGCTTGTGCTTAATATATCAACAGGGAACAGAAGCAGTCGCAGAGGCAACGCCGAGACGCATGTACGCTCTATGCTCAGCGCTGGCTGGTGGCCGAAGTCGTCTAAAACGGCCAACGATCGTGTGAACTGTGCGTATACTTAATATTTTTTGTGTGTGGATCAGCCAGGTGTGCAGCCAGCGTTAGCAACAACAAGGACAACAAACAACCAAAATGTTCACTTCAAAGCGACAACAACAACAACAACAACAAGGACTACTGCAGCCAGGACATCAAAGACACGTTTGGCTGTTGTCTCTATTGCTGCTGCTGCTGACATTGCTGGGGCAACATCAATGCAGCAACATCGTGGAGCCAGAGGAGGCCGCTTTTCAAGGTGCGTATGCAACTGACAACTGACAACATAACCCAGCCCCAGCCACTGCGAGCTGTCAAATTTTTGGCTGCATATCAATAAATGAAGAGGCGAACCTGCCGCCTGTCTGTCTATCTGTCTGACCTGTCTGATGCCTGCCTGTCTGGCTTGGCTTTGACATTAATGAGTGACTTAATTATGCGTTGCACACACACACACACACACTCTCACACACACACATTGCATAACCGCTGTCAATGAACGTAGTTATGCAATGTTTTTGTAAAATTTTTGTGCTTGCGAACGCAACTGCTGCACGCATCTCCTTATCACTCCCTCCCCTCTCTCTCTCTCTCTCTCTCTCTCTCTCTCTCTGTCTCTGTCTCTCTCTGCTTTCTCACTTTGCCTTGTCCCTGGTCGTGTTGATGTGTGCTGCTGACACTTCGATTTCAATTGCATGCAATATGCGATTTTTCAATTTCAATTTGAATACGCAATGGCAAGCGACAAGCTCTACACTACTCCATCAACTTCCACGGACGAGGCGAGAGGGGAGGGTGAAGAGGGGAGAGGGGCAGAGCAACTATTCACATTTGAAGTGCAGCTGTGTGTGTGTGTGTGTGCGCATGCAAATGTATTGAGTGTCCAGTGCACTTTAATCGCCTCCACACAGTTGCTTAATCAACTAGCAATCACACACATACACACACACACTCACTCCCTATTTGCGTGTGTGTGTGTGTGTGACTTGATGGCTCTTTAAGAGTGTTGTTGCGTGTTCTATGTGATAGAATAAAGCTAAACGTAGCCAGAATGACGTAAGCGTTCGTCAAAGGCATAGCACTTGCTGCTGGTTAGACGTAAGTCTTTACCGCTACTCGTTATACTTCACTGGATATCCTGAAAAGCAATTGTACTTATCCGAATGAACCGCTACTCGTAATACTTCACTGGCTATACGGAAAAGCAATTGTATTTATCCGAATGAACTGTAATTAATATTCAATACGTGTAATCACTCATAATTGTGTCTTGTAATAATCTAATAACGTATGTGTTGAAGAATAATCAATACATATGTATATGCATTCATATTTGCTACTTGTTATACTTTGTTATACAAATCTGAAACGATAGAAATTATTGTCCCAATGAAGTACTCGGTACTTGCCTAAAGCTAGTATTTTGCACTCGTCATACTTTACTCGGTATTTGCTATACCTCTGACATACTTTGATGTATATTACAGTTCAGTAATATATTTTGCACATTATACTATACTCGATACTTGATATACAGCTTACATACATCGCTGTTGCACTCGTTACAGTTTTCTCGATACTTGATATAGCTCTCACATACATCTCTGTTCGATGCAGTTAAGTTTTGATAAGAAGTCAATTTTTATTTTACACTTAATACTGAGTATATGATACAGAGCAAACAAGTACTCATTGATTTCTTTTACTCGCTATTTCATATATGTTACGCAGTGCTCGTTATACTCTACTCTTTACTTGTGAAACCCACCTTTATATAGTGAAATTAAAAGAAGAGATTAGAACTACTGCCTGGTACAGGCTACTCGTTACTAGTTATATTTAACTCGATACTTGTTACTCGTTATATTTTACTCGTTACTCGTTAGAGTTCGGTTAAGGGTCTACTAAAGGTTACTCGTTGCTCGTTATATTTTAATTCATATTCGTTACTCGTTATATTTTAATTCATACTCGTTACTCGTTACGAACCGCTTAAAGTCACATTGTGGCCAGAGAATGACGTAATCGTTTAGCAAATAACAAGCACTCAGCGAGTACACGCCTTGCACTTACACTCGCTAGTCGTTGCACTTGAGCAGAGCCTAATGCGACTCTTAGACTTTGCCAAGAGCTGGCATAATTTGCCGCTTGGCATTTGATGTCAAGTGAGCTGTCGATAGGTATACGTCAAAGCGAAAGCAACGCAACGCTACATAAAGCTATGCATTGCTCTGCTTTACTTAGCTGAACTTTGGTTAACTTCACTTTGATTGGCTGCGCTCAAACGCCATTTGCATTCGGGTTGGGCTTTTGAGCTAAATAAAATTCCATTGCATACTTTCGAGAGCGTGCGAGCATTTTGCATTGAAATTGCGAGCAGAATTCTTATTGAAAATTTGGTACGCAAGGCAAAGGGACTCAACAGTTGTGGCTGCTGCTCAGTTTTGGAGCACGGCCAAACTGTCTGTGGGCGGGCGGGAATGTGCGTGGTGCGTGTGCATTTGAAATGTGGGCAATGCCGGGCAGTAAATTACCAACATGACTCTACCCCAAAGTCGGTAAAGCTCATTAGAATTTATTGCGGACACGTCGGTCACACCCAGGCGCCCGAGCAGGGACACGCACGCAACACGAGCCGAAAATATGAACTCGAAACTCGAAATTTAAATGAACAGTGGAAGCAATTAAAAATGTTGTTTGTTCAAAAACCCAGGTCACTGCGGACACACGAGTCCCTGCGAGCAGCTGTGCTATGAGATACACGATGGGATGTACGAGTGCGATTGCATCGAGGGCTACGAGCTAAATAAGAACGGCTACAGCTGTCAAGGTGCGTGACCCCACAATGAACTCGCAATTGAGTTTGTGAATAAGTTGAAATCTGGCTAATGTTCATTTTGTTACGCTTCGTTTTGCAGTCATAAACACGACAAACAGCGGCGCGGATGGACATGGCAAATCGGATGAGGATGTGCTCTATCAGAAGGGCGCTTCCTTTAGCGCCAAGTTGGCCAACGACAGGCCCGACCTGGCCCAGACCCGCAGCTACGCGGCAGCCGAAGCTGAACGGCAAAGCCAAGCGGATGTGGCTGATGCGGATGCGGATCCGAATGCGGATAGCGAATATGATTACAACGACGAGAATTTAGATGATGGCGGCATGCGGGAACAGAAAGTCAATTCAAACGATTATTACATATCAGCCGAGAGCATTAGCTTCAACGAGAATCAAGAACTGGATGCGGCCGACTTTAAGGTGGCGACCACAACAAAAACAACAACAGCAGCAGCAACAACAACAACAACAACAGCCAGAGCAACAACAACAACAACAACAACAAAAGCTGAACAGCGCAATGTGCTGGATTACGGGTCGGCAGATGCGGATGTGGATGTGGATGAGTATTATAGCTACAAGTCGGACATGTCCATCTACGATGATGTCAATAATAATCAATTAAATTTAAGACGCAACAGCAACAGCAATTCGCAAACATATCAACAGACTAGCAACAACTACAATAACAACTTGAACAACGACAACACAAAAGTCGCTATACATATCAATAAAAATGCTGCCAATTCCAACATATCAGCTAAAACAACAACAACAGCAACAACAACAACGACAACAACAACTCCTGCAGCAACAACAACAGTCAGCAGCAGGTAAGCTCTAGATTAAATAACCCATTTATTAGTTTCAAATGCAATTATATAATGTTTGCCATCATTCCACTGGCTGAATGTTGACAACATTCATGAGACGACAATTCGCCAAGTGAACTCCGAACAATGATACTTGATAAAATTCTTCGCTTCACAATGCAATCGTAATCATGTTTTATTGTGTTACGAAATCGAATAATCAGCTTTAAATTATGTCAGCATCGAACAGAACTTCATTTTTAATGACTTCCTCAAGAAAACTATTCAATAATAAATGTGTCCTAGTTAGGGCTGGAATTGAGCGGAAATTTATTTGCACTTAAAGGTATAGCTGCATATCTTATGGAAAAGTTTTGTGGGACAGACGTAATTTGCTTTCCCTTTTAAGTATTCTTAAAAATAATTTTACTCATGCCCCGTACCGATTGAAGATGGTTATTCAGAGCATAAGAATTAAGTGCAAATTATTAAATGAATATTAAAAAATGTTTAAAATAAATATTTTTTGATTAGGACGTCGGGCTTAGTCGTTTAAGCCATGTACGTCTGTCCGTCTGTATGATAGTGACGATCTTGAATCGCTCTCGAAAATTTTATAATTTGTCATTTTTATATTTATATTTCCCCCTAATTATATAACATCGATAAATATCGATTTTAAACAAGTTTTTCCCATATCACCGACACATTATTATTATCAATACTTTTAAGTTTAGAATTTATTGTTTTAATTTTATTTTTTATATTATTTATTTATTTGAATATATTGAATTATGAAAGACACCAAACTTTAAATGTTGGCTCTTGACTTGCGTAACCATAGAAAATTGAAAAAATCCGAGAGTTAAAAGTGATCTAATTTTTATAATTAGAGACTTGTCATTTAGTATATTCACAATTGGATATCCTCATGTTAAATTTTAAATACCATCTTGTTAGATTTTAGTAAATGTAAGGATGGGAATGCAAACGTTTGGTATTTAACTAAACTGAATTCTTAACGATTGCCTGATAGTTTATTTGATTTGATTATTTAATATTTAATACAAAATCTATGTAAGGTACATCTTGTCAGTAGAATTGACTTCCCTCAAATTTCCCTTGTGCCGTTTAACTACAGTCTTAACGCAAACACAAGAATATCCTCAAGTTACCAAAGCTTTTAGTATTTGATGCCAAAAATTCTAAATGATTATCGATAACTTTAAAATGCCAGCACTAATTGGCTCTTCGCTGGGGTTGTAACGGTAAAAAAAAGTCGAAAAATATTCGTTAAGTTTTCGATTTTAATTGACTTCCTAGTGTAGAATTGCCAAATTCACTTAAGTGTGTGTAGACTATTAAAATCTAAACGAATATTTGAACAAGCAATTCTTCTTCCTATTCTTTTAGCAACACACTTTGCAATCTGGACTGCGGCTCGGAGGGCATTTGCGCTCTCGAGGCAACGGCGTCCACTGCCCGCTGCCTGTGCCCCTTTGGCAAAACGGGCGAAGGTTGCGTCGAAGGTATGTGCGTGTGATTAAATGTTTATGCTACCTGCGTATTTTTATGGCTAGTTGGCTAATGGCTAATCTTTTGCACAGATATCAGGGCGCACGTGCCACGCTTTGCGAAACGCTCCTGGCTGGCATTTGCCGCTCTGCATGGCGCCTATAAGCATGTGCAGCTGCGCCTGGAATTCCGTCCAGAAGCCTTTGATGGCATCATACTGCTGAGCGGGGAACGTGATGATCTAACCGGCGATTTTATGGCCCTGCTGCTTAACAAGGGCTTTGTCGAGTTCTGGTTCGATTGCGGCTCCGGTGTGGGCAGCGTTCGCTCCAGGGAGACCATCATGCTGAACGAATGGAACTCGGTGATTATCTATCGCCATCGCTGGGATGCCTGGCTGGTGCTCAATCATGGCACCAAAGTCCAGGGCCGGTCCAATGTAAGTAATTATCAAAAATCCTTCAGCATGTGCAGTTTTTTTTTATTAATATGGTTTGTCTTGCAGGGTCTATTCTCGCGCATCACCTTCCGCGAACCGGTCTTCTTGGGCGGCATAGGCAACATCACCGGCCTGGCCAAGCGATTGCCCCTGGCTGAGGGCTTTGCCGGCTGCATACGACGTTTTGTGGCCAACGAGCACGACTATAAGTTCACGGATCATCCCTTGGGCGATGTTATCAACGGATTCGACATACGTAAGTGAAGTCAAAAATCCACTACAGCTGGTGAACAATGGGTGGAAAACATATCTATAACTTCTACTTGGCTTTCAGAGGACTGCTCGACGGACAAGTGTGTGCGTTATCCCTGCCAGCATGGCGGCAAGTGCTTGCCCTCGGATCAGGGCGCCGTTTGCCTGTGCCCCATTGGCTTTGTGGGTGATTTGTGCGAGATACGCATGGATCTGCAGGTGAGCATACGCGAAATAGCTTTGTTATCCTGGTTGGTTGCATCACACATTTAATTAAATTTAATTTCAGGTACCCGCTTTTAATGGCTCCTCGTTTCTGCGCTATGCGCCGCTGGGCGACAGCGCCTTAATCTGGCTGGAGCTGAAGGTTATATTAAAGCCGGAACAGGCAGACGGCCTGATACTCTACTCTGGACCCGAGCAGCGTGGCGATTTCATAGCTTTGTATTTGCACGACGGCTTTGTGGAGTTTGCTTTCGATTTGGGCAGCGGACCCGCCATGGTGCGGTAAGTACTCCCACACTTCAGGCAACTGCCAATTCGTTATGCATTCATCTAACTGCATCCCCTTTCGACCAGCAGCAGTGAGCACTCGCTGAGTCTGGGACAATGGCATACCATCAAGATCTCAAGGACCGCACGCCTGGCCGTGCTCAAGGTAAGCCAGAAGGAAGCTTTGAACTTGGCTGGCATGTTGAACTCTTTGCTTTGTTTGTGCACACACCCACAGATCGATCAGCATCAGGAGGTCATGACCATATCCTCGAACGGCTTTTGGCATCTGTCGCTGGCGCAAAACCTATTTGTGGGCGGGGTCAATCATGTGGACCGCCTGCCACTGGATCTCAAGTACAAGTCCTTCTTTGTGGGCTGCATTCAGCGCGTAAGTTTCAGTGATTAATCTCAACTCAAGTCAAGTCAAGAGTAGCTGCCACTAACCAGGCAATTTCTGCCACAGATTGACATCAATGGCCACTCGCTGGGCATTGTGGCCGAGGCGCTCGGCGGCAGCAACATTGGCAACTGCCCGCACGCGTGTGTTGCCCGTCCGTGCGGCCCGCTGGCCGAGTGCGTGCCACAAATGGAGAGCTACGAGTGCCGTTGCAGCATCTACAACGAGCGCTGCAACAAGGCAGCTGAAGTGCCGCCCGAGCAGCTGCCGGAGCTGATGCTCCACAAGCAGCAGCACAATGCCCAAACACTTGAACCCAAACAATACAAAGGAGTTGAGTCTAAGAAACTGTCGGCGCACAAGAAGCATGCCACAAAGCGCAAGAATTTGCATAAGCACAAGGCACCGACACCTGCAATCACCTCCACCACCTCCACCACCAGCACAACCACAACGACTACAGCAACGCCCCCCACAGAAGCAGCAGCATCTGGTGCACCGAGCAATGAGGAAATCGAAGATGATATCATTTTCCGCTTTGTGCATGACAATGCCGCACAAGCGGCCGCCAGTCCAATTGGGGGGCAGCAGGTGAAGGGGATGGGCGAGCAGCCCGCACTCCTGGGCAAGCAGCATGTGAGCAAGCATGAGCATCACCAGAAGCCCAACGCCTTTGCTCGTAAACTTAGCCGTCTGCCCACACACTATGAAAGTTTCCAGACAAATCCCGACAGCGATATACTCACATTTGATGATAACAACGATTGGGTGGCCAGCCTCCAGCAGCAGGAGTATGCGGATGCCATGGCGACCAGTCAAGTGGGCACTCCACTTGCCAGCTCAGCTGAAGGTAATGCGAATGCGAATGCGGCAGGTGATGGGGATGTGGATGCGGATGCGGATGCGAGTGGCTTTGTTTTCGACGAATCGTTGTTTGATGCCTCCGACGGTGCTGAGGATTATCAACGAAAGCAGCTCGCCCAGGACATGAAACGCATCATGTCCAATACACACACGCACACACACACGCTGAAGCAGGGACAGGAGCAGCAGCAGCAGCAGCAGCAGCAGGCATCACCTGTCGCCGCCGAGCCGCAGTACGAAGATTACAGCGACGACGAGCTGCTGACGCCCGTGCTCAAGTCCGAGCCGGTAGCAGTTGCTCCGAGCACACCGCAAACCCACACCGACTGGAGTCTGCTGAAGAAATTCGATCTGTCCGCGGAGCATCAGTCGCAGGTACAGAGCGTGCGCAAGAATTTTGGCGCCTGCTTTGCCGGCACCGACAGCTATTTCCACTACAACGATGCCGACACCATGAGCCAGGTCATCAGCTACAACATTGACCTCAATCTGCGCATCAAGACGCATTCCGAGAACGGTGTCATACTATGGACGGGACGCCAGGGCACAACCGAGCTGCACGATGACTACTTGTCGCTGGGCATTGAGCAGGGGTAAGTACGAGGTTCTAAAACAATCAAAGTAATAAATTTGATACCCACAAATGGGAGTTATCTTTGTGGGGTGGCACAAAAACCCAAGGCATTAGATTAGTTAGATATCAGCTTCATCTCAATTTTCTTTAAATTATGTCAGTGTTTACTTGAGAGTTCTCAAAGATTTTATTAGTAAAACGTATATTAAATAAATTCCTTAGCTTCCCATCGAATAAAAATGAAGCTTTTGTCAACCCACTTTCCAACCTTAGACAAATATTCCATTCATTATACGTTTCAATTTGATTCCTACAAAAAGCTGATAGGATATTCCACTCATTTTTCACCCTAACCAGTGGAATTCCTTTCGAGGCTTTTCATCGCATAGAAATCAACTTTTGTCAATTAACTTTCCAAACATACTCAAATATTCCATTCATTATAAGTCTTACTTTGATTCCCATAAAAAGCTGATAAGATATTCCAGTTATTTTTCACCCTAACCAGTGGAATTCCTTTCGAGGCTTGTCGTTATAAACTTAAACGAAATATTTTCTAAGCTCTTACGATTTGGGCCAGCACAAATTGATCACATTTAATTATATTTTGATTCAATTTGATTCCCATAAAAATCTGATAAGATATTCCACTCATGTTTCACCCTAACCAGTGGAATTTCTTTCCAGGCTTGTCGTAATACGAAATATTTGCCAAGCTCTTACGATTTGGGCCAGCCCAAATAGTTATAGAATAATATTTTGATTAATTTATATATTTGCAGATATTTGCATTTTCGCTACGATCTGGGCGCTGGCGAGTTGGACATACGCTTTAATGGCACCAAAGTCAGCGATGGACTCTGGCACCGCGTTCGGGCCATACGGTTAGTGAGAAACTAAGTAAAACATATATAAATATATGTCTTTAATAAACCATTTAATTTGCAGAAACTCCCAGGAGGGCTATCTGGAGGTGGATGGACGTAAGACCATGACGCTACGTGCGCCGGGCAAGCTGCGGCAATTGAATACCGATACCGGACTCTATGTTGGTAGGTTGCTGCCCCCCTCCCAACATAAATGAATACTTTTAGAAAGTAATGTCTATTTATGTTGCCATTTTAGGTGGCATGCCCGATGTGGCTTACTTTACGCATCAGCGCTATTTAAGTGGCATTATTGGCTGCATATCTGAGATCGTGCTGGCTGGCGAGAAATTGAACTTTGATCCGAACACGTTGGGCACGGCGCACAATGTGGAGACAGGCCTACTATGAAACGCTGCACTTGCATAAGAAGCGTCAAGACTTTTGATATATCAAATAGTTTAAATGTTATTATTTTCAATTAACGAAATGTTTACAAAATGTATATTTCGTTTGTGTTTGTACAAAGACGCTTTTAAAATCAACTGAGAAAGAGAAAGAGGAGACAAGGAGACGAGACGAGAAGAGAAGGAAGTTCTAGTTGGGGGAATTTTTTTACGCCAAGAGACGAGCTGAGAAGTAACTAAAGTAAATATAGTAAACCATACTACATATGATATAGTGCATACAAAACATATTGATTATATACAAATGCATTCATAGATATATATATATGTAAAACGAAAGAAACCCAAAAAACAAGGCATGCTTCACATAGCCTGTGACTGTCAATACTTCAGAATGGAATAGTTTATATATAACTTTAGCAAAGATTTATAAAATGAAAACTGCGTAAACGAGCCTAAAAAAAACAAACCACATATTGTATCTAGAAAATGAGCAACAAAGAGATGAAGAGTGTGCACATGTTTTATGTCCATTTTGAGCGCTTTGATTTAAGTGAACGTTACGCTTTGTGTGCAGAGTTGCCACCTTTTTGTAAGACACTCACACACACACACACACACACACACAATTATATACTCGTATACACACGTATACACACGCATATTGGCAATACTTTCGTCTTTCGCATTGCTGTACCTTAAAAAAAAATGAAGAACAAAAAACAAACTATAACTGTACATTCTGTACTTCTTGAAAGTTCTATAACTGTCAACAACAAAAAACAAAAGTTAATTGAGGCGAATACGAAGAAGCAGCAGAGTAAACATACTTATTAAATGGTAAGTTAATAAATGTGTAGCGTGTATTAGATTGTAAGTTGGCACACACACACACACACACATACACACACGAAGCCTGCCTATGTAAACTTTTATATAAACGAAAATACACCAATAACAACAACAAAAAAACATACGTAAGCTACACACACACACACACACACAGACACCCAAGACGCGCTGAACCAGAATTGATATATGTGAGCGATTTTTAACAATTTATACTACAATACAACAGACATCAACAAGAACAACTAGCTAAAACTTAAAAAACAAAAGCAATTTAACAATCCCATAGCGAAATTTTTAAATGCTAACTACAAACATAAAATGAACAAGAAATACTGCAAATTAGCCTGTTGCAAGAAATGCAAAAGCAAATACACAATGTTTGTATTCATCTTATGAGTATGATTTTGTAGCTTAATGATAACATCTACGTACGTAGCTATATATATATACATATATAAACAAAAAAATAAATATGCGTATATATACATATATATACAAATATATATATAAATGAGAAACTATAGTGAAGAAAAAAAAACAACAAGCATTAAATGAATAAAGAAATCACAACCACCAATCAATGTAAAACTAAATTAAACGACATTCAATGTAGCTTATTTATAATATGCGAGAACGAAGAAGCATTGAGATATTTAATTTCGTACATTGGTTTGCAGAAAATAAAAATATAAAAAGAAAAACGATTCATAGAGCATTCCCTTTGATTTTGCTTCAAATCACTTAAAAATCAAATTGGCGCTCTGTCGACTAACAGTGTTGAAAAACATTATGGTGTACAAACAGGTTGGCAGCACTTTTTGTTTGTGACGTCACTAGAGCAAGGCCATTGACAAGTTTGATGCTGATTAGTAGCTGCACAAAAAAGCTATGTGATAAGCGCACTTCACACTTATGAGCGAACCCTAACATTTTCTCCATACCGTTAACATTGTCTGCTTGTTAACAGTGAGCCGTGACTCGTTACTAAACCGATTACTTGTATAGCATTTATAACGAGTTGGCAGCTCTGCTCTGACAACAACATAACTCACAATAATGGTAAGTAGTGCCTGTCTTTTTTGTTGCAATTTTTGATTATTTACTTATATTCAATAATTGCACAAAGCACTAGACAACAGCAGCTGATTGAATTGCAGCGCAGGTGTCACAAGCCACAAGGGACACCGAGAGAAACAGCAACAACAACAGCTGCGCAAACATTCACTTTTAGACACCTTCGGGGGAGGCTGACAAGTTGTGCGGAAGACGGTCGCCTCAAGACACGGAAGTGTTTTTTAAGTTGCTAGAAACTTGATTGAAAATCACCTTCGGAGCAGCGGCTGCTGATCGGAGCTCAGTCATGGCCGATGCTGGTGGCATGCCCGAAAATGCGGCCGAAATAGCCGTAGCCAATGCGATCAATAACATCAACGGGCGCAATCGTGTGCTGGCGGGCGGAGTGGGAGGTGGCGTTGGCCAAGTAAGACCCAAGCACACACACATACACACACAGAGACAACACATATAATTGCTTATCTGTAACATTTTGTAGAACAACATGATGAACATGCGGGATCGCCTATTTCATGCCATTTACTTTCGTGTGGCGGCCACCTACGCGGAGCTAGTGCCACGGTAAGTAGAAAGATTGAATCTTGAATCCCTCCAATTCCAATTGGACATCTCTCTATTTGCTTTGCAGCAAGGTGCAGCTGGCCATTGAGTTTTTGCTGCTGCTCAAAGCTTTGGTCTTCTTTTTTACCCTGGTCTATGTGCATACGGCTTTCATTAAGAATCCCTGCACCTGCCTGCAGGATGTGCAGAATTGGCCACGCGAGGGCGTTATCCGAGTGGAAATAATACCGCATCTGGCGGAGAAGCGTGCCATATGGCAGCGCATCAAGAGCGATCAGCAGCTGGTGCTGGCCTTAAAGCACACTTAGTAAGCCTTGACGTTGAATCTCCTCGGCTTTTACTTAACTTTTACCTACTCCATTGCAGCCACTATGGCGTGGGACCGCAAACGCTGGACAATCACAACAGGCTGAAACGCTACGAGGCGATACTGCGCAAACTGGGCCTGCCCGTGCGCCCCAATTTCGCGTATGGCAACGAGACCTTGTATTATTATTTTGATGCCATCAATATACTGGATAACTATGATCATCCCAGCGCCATACCGCTCAAGGGCGACGATGATGATGGTGCGTAATCAATGCGTAATCCTTTATATGTTATATATACAAATGTTACTCGTTATTCGCTTTGCCTTGCAGATGAGCAATATATTGTAGAGTACTCTCTGGAGTATGGACACCTGCGTCTGTCGGCTGCCACACGCAAACGTCTGAACATACCCGTGCTTACGGTGCAGCTAGATCCCAACACGAATGCCTGTTTCGGGGACAGATTAACGCGTTACCTGCTCAAGCGTTTGCTAGGGTAAATCAAGAAACTTTTGTTATGAAATTCAAAGTGTTAAAAGTTGCTTTTCCAATTGCAGCTACGATGATTTGCTAATGGCCTCGGTGCGCACCGTCGCCGAGAGGGAGGAGAACAAAGGTTATCTTCGCAACGTGATTACGGGCGAACATTACCGCTTCGTTTCCATGTGGTGGGCTGCCTGGAGCAGTTATCCAGCTGCTTTCTGTGTCATGCTGCTCTTTGTATGTCCGCCAAACAGTTTCTTTATTAATTAAATTAATTATTTGTTTGTCGCTTGCAGACTTTTTCCGTGTCCATGCTGCTGCGCTATTCGCATCATCAGATCTTTGTGTTCATAGGTAATTGGCTGGCCAAATGCAGATCAATTTTCGTGTGATACAATCTCATTTCTTTTCACAGTGGATCTGTTGCAAATGCTGGAGTACAATGTGTCTGCCCGGTTTCCCATTGCGCCCCTATTGACGGTCATATTGGCGCTAGTAGGTGTGCATAGCTCCCACTGTCTAGTCTAGAGCCTGGAATTATAGAATTAATCTTTTGTTTTATTTTTTGCAGGCATGGAGGCCATTATGTCGGAGTTCTTCAACGATACAACAACAGCTTTCTATATTATATTGATTGTCTGGATCGCGGATCAATTCGATGCCATCTGCTGTCACACAAGCATTACCAAGCGCCATTGGCTCAGGTGCGTTACCCGGCAGCTGCTGCTGGTTTTGTTAGAGTGTCGCTTTTTGTTTGTGCAATCGTCTGTGCCAAGAACAAATGACAAATTCAATTACATTAAGTTGAAGCATCCGTCGCAATCCTTTGCTGTCCGGACAGCATGTCCGGCTGCGGCTGCTGTTGAGCTCTGCTGAGCTCCGCTCACCCCCAGCACTTAACAGTTCATTTCGTTTTGTTCGCATATTTTTTTTTTGCTGCTTTCTTTCCTTCTGTGCTGGGGCGTATTTCACACTCAGCGCTCGTTCGGTTCGTTTCGTTTCGTTTGGTTGTTATTTGAAAATTAACTTGGCTTGCGCAAGCCTCCCCCGGGGCCAAAGCAAATCGACCAACACACAACACACCAAAGTCCCTCCGCATGCCGCCAGCGCACAGAGAACACAGAATTTCATCACTTAAGTCAACAAGCGTAACCCAAGCGGTGCCTTACCCAAACCCAAACCCAAACCCAAACCCCAACTGGGCCGCGCCATTAGCAAACATTTAAATAAACTTGTTTGTAATAGCTGCGAACACAAAATGGAATAAGTGAAAACCTACCAAAAAAAAAAAAAAGAATGTCTATAGAGCCGGGCAGCTGCGAATACTCCTCTATAAACATTAATGACCACGCACGTCATACAAAACTCAATCTCAACTCTAAACCCCGTTTTTCCCCTTTTATCAATTTTTTTTTTGCTCATTCTGGCTCGTCTCTTAAAAAAGACAAGTGAAAAGTGGTTGAGGGCGGGCTACTTTGCGGTTTATTGCGCGCACTTTGCATAATTGAGGAGCGCACAGTTTGAAATTATTTTTGGTAAATCTCTGGCCCCAGCCTCCCCGGCAGCGACAACATCGACAGCATCATCATCATCATGAAGATTTTTCAAACATTGCGCCCATCAATAATTCAAAGAGATACTTGAGTATTCCCTTTATTCGGCCAATGCCGGCCCAACCCGGACCGGCCCGGCCCGGCCCGTCCGTCTTCCTCTGTTTGCCGTTCATGAGTACAACCATTAGAAATTCATGCGGCGGCATTTACCAATCACTATTCCACTGCCGGCTCCTCAAATTTGGTGTTGATTTTGCGTAATTTGCGCCTGAATTAAAAGGCCATCAATGCGGCATGCTTCGAGCAGCAGCGACGTTCCACTTACCGTATTTATATTCATTAAACATTCATTGCCCACCGCCCCCCAACCCCTTGCCACGCCTTGTTCTGTGCTTAACAAGCTGTTTATTGTGCTTGGTCCCACACAAAAGTGGCCTCAATTTCCCAGCAATGCAAGCAACTAAATACTCGAGAGTCTTACTGCTGTGGACATTGCAAATCTCTAAGAAAACCTCGCTTAAAATATTGTATATGATATCGTCGTAGAGATCCTAATTCGGAGAGTTTTATTTGTGTTATGTGAAAATATAGGGAAACAGCTTAACTGGCCTTCTGCCCTCTCTGATTTATCTTCTGCTTAACTGCGTACAGTGTATATACCCATTTTGATACCCTGTTGCATTTAAATAGCCATATTCAAGGGTACAAAAGAGAATTGTCAACCATTTCACCCACACGTTATTCTCGCTAATTAGTCCTTTCACACTAATATATAGTTTTTAATGCGCTTGGTCCCAACATAGTACTGCTTTTTTTTTTACATTAATCCATCTCGAATAGCATCGTGCATTTCTAAAGCACAAAAATTGAGTTACAAGAGAATCAAAGATATGCTCGACAGAATAGAATTCTCTCTTATACGGAGATCGGCCTTTCTATGTGATTATCATGGCTCCGACTAATACTAACGTAATTTTCATTTAATTTATGCATTTATTATATGAAGAAATTATCCTTGGTGATACTAATATGTTTTTGACTCGCCCAATTTTCCTCCAGTTGTCGCTCTTTCCATCTCAATTTCTTTCTTTATCGCACATTCTCTCTCTCTCTAGCAGTCGTTCGCCCGCTTTCGGTCGCTTAGTCTCTTCCTCTGTCACTCATTCACTTAGTTTTTTTTTACTCATTTCTTTCCCT